AATTCTCCCACCTCAGCTGCCCAAAGTGTTGGGTTTACAGGCATAAGCCACTGCGCCTGGCCTCTATGCATTTTTCTCAACTTAAATATGGAGACACGCGTTACTTTACATGGAACAGGGGACTCTGCCCCTGGGACTGAGGTTAAGGATCTTGAGATGGACGATTATCTTTGTTTTTCCAGGCAGGCTCAGCCTAATCCCATGAGTCCTTAAAGCAGAGACTCTTTCCTGGTTGAGGTCAGAGGCATGTGATATTCCTGGCTTTCATGATGGAGGAAGAGACATGTGTGAAGCAAGGAATGCAGGCAGCTTTTAGGAGCTGGAAGAGGCAAGGAATTACATTCTCCTTGAGTCTATGGAAGACATGCAGCTCTGTTGACACCTTGATGTTGGCCCAGGGTTGGCCAAAATGGACCATAATTTGTGTCATTCAAAAGTACTGAGTTTATTATAATTTGTTATAGCAGCAATGGAAAACCAATACAATCTGGTAGGATTTTTGTGATGAGTAAGTGAGATATTATATTAGTCAGAGTTCTCTAGAGGACAGGACTAATAGGATAGATGCTTATATGAAGGGGAGTTTATTAAGGAGTATTGACTCACACTGTCACAAGGTGAAGGCCCACAATAGATCATCTGCAAACCGAGGAGCAAGGAAGCCAGTCTGAGTTCCAAAACTTCAGAACTAGGGAGGCCGACAGTGCAGCCTTCAGTCTGTGGCTGAAGGCCTGAGAGTCCTTGGCAAACCACTAGTGTAATAAGTCCAAGCATCCAAAAGCTGAAAATTTGGAGTCTGATGTTTGAGGTCAGGAAGCCTCCAGCACAAGAGAGAGATGGAGGCTGGAAGACTCATCCAGTCTAGTCCTTCCACGTTCTTCTGCCAGCTTTTGTCCTACCTGCGCTTGCAGCTGATTAGATGGTGCCTACCCAGATTGAGGGTGGGTCTGGCTTTCCCAGTCCACTGACTCAAATGTTAATCTCCTTTGGCAACACCCTCACGGACACACCCAGGAACAATGCTTTGCATCCTTCAATCCAATCAAGTTGACACTCAGTATTAACCATCACAGGTATTAAATACAGAGCACTAATTTCAGTGCCTCCAAACTTATATCAGCTATTTAGTTAGCTCACTTTCCTCTTCCCTATAAATTTTGTTTTTTTCTTTTTGAGGCAGGGTCTCACTCTCACCCAGGCTGGAGTGTAGTGGTGCAATTGTAGCTCACTGCAGCCTTGAACTCCCGGGCTCAAGCAATCCTCCTGCCTCAGCCTCTCTAGTAGCTGGGACTGCAGGTTCAGCCACCACCCCCAGCTGATTTTAACAATTTTTTTTTTGCAGTGATGGGGTCCTGATGTGTTGCCCAGGCTGGTCGTAAACTCCTGGCCTCAAATGATCCTTCCACCTCAGCCGCCCAAAGTGCTGGGATTACAGGTGTAAGCTACTGAGCCTGGTCCCTATACATTTTATCAGCTTAAATATATAGACAGTGAAGAGAGGATCTCAAGGTTGACTGACTTACTCATAACATATTTTTAGTACCCAATAGGTGCTAAGTATTAAGGTTATGAAACTGGAGTAAAACAGAATCACATCGCTTCTCGGCCTTTTGGCTAAGATCAAGTGTAAAACAGAATGACTGCTCTCATGACGTTTTAGTTGGGGAGGGAGAGAGAGACTTCACATAACATATAATTTCAAACAATAACAAGTGCTGTGATATGAGGGATAGGTTTCTGTGCACCCCAATTACATTAGCACTTGGGCAGCTCCATGGAGCCAAGGCTGGCTTTGCAGAGGACATGAACCTT